TAATGTCGAAGAACTTCTAACCAAACGGAGCTATATTTGAGCAAGAAATGAATTATGGAAGAAGCATCTATTTGTTTGTTTCTTTTCCATCATTATTGCTTCATATTATATTCTTTTGGATTAGTATTATATTGTAGCTTATATAGAAGATTATTTTAGCTTCAATCAAAGTGAAGCATTTAATTATAACGTAAGCTATTCAACATTCAACTACTCCGCCATGAGTAACATTTACAAGTTAGCTAGGTAGGCATCTGATTTTGGTTTAATTTTGACCAAAAAATAATAATCTGATTCGTTTAATTAATTGAGACATCGAAACCAAATTCAACAGAAGCCGATTTTGTTATGTCAAAAATTCGTTACTAAATCTTATAAATACAGTAAACATTATTTTATCTAATTTCGAGATATATTTTTTTGGTCGTATCTAATTTAGAGATATATTTTGACCAAAACTAAAAATCGATTCAGAGAACCTGCAAAGAAAAAGAAAATTTTTTAAATTAAGGGATTTGACCAAAAAACAAATTAATTGAACCAAAACCCCAAAAAACTAAACCGAAATCAAAACAACGTTAACCGAATTTACACAGCTCTAGTTGAAGAAACTAATCGGTGACATTTGCGGGGAGTAACAAAGGTTTCGTCAACACTTCCGGCGATGGCGCACGGCGGATATGCCAACCGGAGGGTTGCGGAGCGGAAGACGACGGCCGGAACTAGTCGGAGATCGAAGAAAGGATTGTGTGTGGAGAAGAAACCGAAGAATTCCTCTCTCAAGAATCAAATTCGTTCCATTAGCCGCATGATTCGTAAAGTAATCGCTCTTCTCCTCTTCATGTGAAATTAGGGTTTATAGTTGCCTTCTCCGATAGCTTCCGGCCTCATCGATTGACTATATGTCGATCTCAGTGCCCCCTGTTGAGGAATTTGTTTTTGATTGAGGGATAGGATTATGGAAGATGAGATAATGATTTGATTTGGAGAGGCAAAATGATTCCATTTAGGAGCATAGATTATTATTTAATAGTGTGAATTGAGAAGAGAAGAATATTGATGTACGATGCAATTTTCACCGTATAGGATCTTCCTCCTGAAGCAAGAGAGGCTCTAGAAATGAAGTTGGATGATCTGAAGAAGCAGCAAGACGTCCATATCCGTCTTGCTGTTGAACGTAAAATCTTCCTAAGAAACAGAAAGATCAGATTCTTTGGTGAGAGTGTTATCTTTATTGATTGAATGATTTGGCTTAATCTGAAAAAAATAATTACAACTTTCTCTCTGAGTAGAGCGGAGGAAGATTGAAAGGGGAATAAGACGTCTCGAGAAGCTACAGCGCAATACATCTGGTGGTCATGTGCAAGATGCTGAGATAGGTGGGCAACTCATTCAGCTCAAAGAAGACCTTGAATATGTTAGGGTAAGGATCTTATCCAGTTCTTTATCTCCTTTTATTTCACCATCCTTTTCTTCTGGATTTCGTTTCGCGAGTTAGTCGTAAGAATAGACAAGTTTTTTTTTTTGTGTGGTTACGATGAAAATCTTGCGAGTCAAGCTGTGTAATGCAGTTCTTCCCCAAAAATGAGAAGTATGTATCACTATTTTGTGGAGGTGATGATTTGGAAGTAGCTGAGCGCAGAAGTAAATTGCGGAAGCAAATCAAAGCCAATATAATTGTTGCTGCTGCCAGTGGGAAAGAGTTGGAAGGTATTGATGATATGTGGCGATGCTTATACGGTTCCATTTTCCCTGAACTTTCAGTATAAAAATGGGCAGTGTGCTTTTTTCACCGTTGCATGGATTCTGATTTCTGAGTCCTGACCTTATTTAAGCTTTTGAAGTATTGCTGATTATGTTGACGTGTTGATCATTTATTTATTTATTTTTTTTGTGTGTGGAAAACAGAGACAGGGAGTGAAGATGATGGGCTTTTAGACCTGAGTGATGATGACTTCTTTGTCAACGGAAGTTCGAGTGAGGAAGCAGATGCGGATGATGAGTGGACTGATAAAAGCACAAAGTACGTCTAGTAATGAGGAATAGTTTCTTTTAACCTCAGTACTTCTAAGTGTAGTTTATCGACTATATTAGTGCATGAATTGGAACGAAGAGAAGTCAATGAGGCTAGTGGTCTATGAACCTCTGATTTCCTGTGACAAGAAGTTGATTCTTGACTCTTTTCTATTGGCTGAACTTGTACTGGTAAAGATCATTTCTGACTGTTGTCTGCATTGCTTTTCCAGGGAGCCGGTTTCTAGTGCTTCTGGCAGAGCAACATCGGGCATGTCCAGTGATGAAAGAAATCAGGTACGATGCGAAAGTTACACACAGTCTTGTTGATTGCATGATACTTGGGACTCCAATACGCTCAGAAAGTCAGAAACTTAACATGTTCAATTTTAGGGTAATCAGAGTATATGAAACTGAAGTGTTATATATATTGAGTACAAAAATTACTAAATATATACTGCAGTGAACGGCTCTGTTTTTCAAATCTGAATATTGCTATTTTGGTTAGTGATTCCATTTTTTGTTTTTGGTAGAGGCCAAACACTACCAGGGTTCTAATGCCACCACCACTGTCAAGGTTTGCATCAACATCTCGGAAGTATTCATCTGTCAGGAGGAATGAGATACCTTCCACCAGCAACACTTCACATAGAAGAATTCAGTCTTCACATGCTTCCACAAGCTTGCATACCAGTCAGAGTAGCAACTTGAGTTCTAATTCTGATGCTCACAAACCCAAGAGGAAGAGAAGGCCTAAGAAGAAGAAGCAACATGTGAGTTTCTCTTAACTCTTTCCTGCAATTCTTATTGTTGATGAAGAAACATTTCAAACCCTAGTTTAGTGAAATGCATATCTTTTGATAGCAGCAAATGTAATTGCTCTGTAAAAATGGAAACTTTCAAATTAGAATCTGCATTCTACTTGCCATGCTGATTATTTATTCTTGTATTTTCTGTTTCAGGCGTGAACGGCTCCTCTCCCACCATTTCTCAGAGAAGGCAAAGAAGCTTCTAATGGATACTCACTCGGTACTCCTACCGCCTTGTCTTGCATTCTATGATGGGATACAATGCGTATATAGATGTTTTTGATGTGGTCACCAACGCAGAGAGATAGGTTTCCGTTGTTTTTGGCTAATGAGATGAAACCTAAACCATGGGCAAAATGTTAATCATCACAAAGTTGAGCTTTTTCTATTCCTTTAGTTAATTGTTCTTTCTTCAGGTTTTTCTATCAATTGATGGGACTGATCCAATCCAATCCAATCCAGACCATTTAAAATCTGAGATCTTTTTTTCTTTTGGTAAACTGAGACCTGCGAACAAAAACAGAAAATGGGTATTGCTTGAAAATCTCTTTTTATTAGTGAGAACACAAAACAGATTCCTACAAACATTTGAAGAACTCTTCAAATCTTCATAACACTTATTTTTTTAATGTAATACAAAACCAATGACAGAGGACAACCTTTTGCCCTGCTTCTGAAACAAAAAGTAAATAGGTTCCAGTTTCATATGCTTAAGACCATTAAGCATTTCTACATTTGAGTTTTACCGATGAGGTAATAAAAAGGCTACGACTTGAATTCAACCCGATGAACATAGATCTTGCCCGAGAACTCGACAACCCAAGCACAGACAGAGATTTCTCTTGACCAAGAGAAACTCTGTTTTTCTTTAGGTTCTTGTGTCTCTCTGTTTCCTGAAGCTTTGTCTCATAGATCACAGCCTAAACCTTTGGCTTCTGATCCTTTCATGATTCTAAGTCTCTTGCAAGTACATACAAACATCCTGC